CCGATTCCGAGAAGGTATTGAATCACTTGAAGACGAACCACATGGGCATCGCTCGGCAGCGAACGATAATAATGAATTGGAACAAATTATTGAAGCCGATCCAATGCAAACTGCCCGAGAGCTTGCCAAACATCTCCAATGTGATCAATCAACAATTTTCATTTGAAAATAATCGGAAAGACCATGGAGATTTGGATGAACGACTACTTTCAATCACAGAATCAAGAGTTCTTCAATAAGAGGATCCGCAATCTGAGCAACGTTGGAGGGATGTTATAGAATCATTGGAGGGATGTCATAGATAACCATAGATAACCATGATGCTTATTTTTTTGGAATAAATTGTTATCTAAAGAAATTTTGATTAAATTTAATGTTTATAAAAAACCGAGATTTCTCTTGCATCAACCTACCGTATTCTAATAGAAGCACATCTGCTTTTATTAGAATACGGTAGGTTGAATACGGTAGGTGAAAAGGTTGAATAGTTTGAATACGGTAGGTGAAAGGTAGAATACGGTAGGTCAAAAAATAGAAGCACATTTGCTTCTATTTTTCAACCCTTTTCCTCAAATTGCTTCTATTGGAGACTGTGCCTCAATTAGAATAAATATGGTAGTATATATCAAGCAGAAGAGACGTTTGTCCGCCCGTCCCTCTGTACGCGGCGATTGGCAAAAAGGGGCGGGACTTAGATTGTGTGGAAAACGTGGACGTTAGTGAGCGTTTTCTGCTGGTATTGAATAAAGGGTACTTGTCGGTTATACATCCACAAAGACTCATCTCGGATGAGCAGCTTCATGCCAGTCTTCTCAGTTATCGATTCTCGTTCGACTGATCGACTGATCACTTCAGGCGAGCACTCTACTTCACTGAACATCACCCCTTACTAGTTGTCAGCTCCTTGCTTAACCGAGATGAGTCTCTGCGGATGTATAACCGACAAGTACCACAATTTTAGATGAGCTGCTTATTTAGAGGAAGCTTGTAAAAAATGGTTTCGACGATTTAGAGAAGGAGACGAAACTCTGCAGGGTCGAGGACGTGGTCACCCCCCTCCAGCGCTCAACGATGACGATCTTCGAGCAGCCATAGAAGATGGTCCAACCTTGTCAACTCGGGACTTGCAACGATGTTTGCTGTAGGCCGCACAACTATTGGGGACCATTTACATCGTTTGGCTAAAGCGAATCTCGTCGGAAAATGGGTATCCCATCAACTTAGTGACGCTAATAAAGCTTCTCGAGTGACTATGGTTGGTATTCTTCTTCGTCAAGCAAAAAAATCGAGGTTTTTGGGACACTATTGTGACGGTCGAAGAAAAATGGATTTACTACGATAACCCATCGCAAAAGCGGCAGTGGTATAGTCAAGGAGAACAGCCAAAAACGACGCCACACCGTGAGCCGCAGGGAAGAAAGATCAGGTTATCTGTTTGGTGGAATTCCCGTGGTCTTATACACTTTGAGGTTCTACCTTCTCAAAGTCACCTCAGATCTATATGTACAACAGCTGGAATGATTAGACCAGGCTCTCAAGAATCAAGACTGGGAGAGATCTGCAAGATAACGCGCGCCCACACACAGCAAAGAAGACGCAGGAAAAACACGAGGAAGGGAATGTCTCCCGCATCCGCCGTATATTCCAGATCTGGCACCCTCAGACTACCACTTATTTCGATCTATGAAGCAATTCCTGTCCGATAAACACTTCAAGGACCAAGACGAAGTCCGAATTTGGGTAGGCCAATACTTCGACTTGCAGCCTCAGTACTTCTTCAGCAAAGGGATCCGAGATTTGAAAGAAAAATGGAGAAAGACTATTGCCAACAACAGAGAATATCTTTTGGATTGAAGCGCATGGTTTTCTTTTTGTGGAAATAAATTTGTTTTTCATTAAAAGGGTATTTTCATTCCGGACAACCTAACAGTTACTTCAGTACATCAAACAAAGTGGTATTAGGTTGGAAAGAAAGTTCTCGGAAAAAGTTTGCACGGTGATTTCTCGAAAACCAAGCCATAAATTCTTCCCAGATTTTTTGATAAATTTGTCCATATTTCAAAAGATTTCGATAAAAAAATCACAGTGGGTTTCAGGTAAAAAATACGAGATTTCTTCAGCTGAAGTGATTTGGTCACTTTTTGAGTGACCAGCCTTTAGACAAGTTTTTAATGGGTAACTCCACATCTTTACCTCAGAAATCATCCAGTCACCAGAGGCTCCATAGGGATACGTGCACGTTTCGTGATTTGCTCCTTTTCGAAAAACAGTCACAATGTCGACACGTCCTTCCCATTTATCACCATAAGTCGCTGCACGCTGCACGCAGCGAAAAATCATTTTAAAATTTAAGGACTTTTTTTAAGGCCGCATTTCTTCTTTCTTGTTCTCTTGCGTTACTTGGAATCTTTTCCATGAATTCCTTTATTCAAACGATATCAAGCCATTAAATGCACAACACAAACATCTCCACATCCACGTAGACATGGCCATCCCCCCAACACAACATCTCCACAATCAGCCCAACATGGCCGACTCCACGTCTTCACCTCAGAAATCATCCAATCACCAGATGCTCCATAGAGATAGGTGCACGTTTTGTGACTTGCTCCCTTTCGAAAAACAGTCACAATGTCGCCACGTCCTTCCCATTTATCACCATAAGTCGCTGCAAGCTCTGCTAGCGATTGGATCCCGTCGTGACGTTCTCGCCATTGGAAACGGTCTTGAAAGTAACGACTAAAATAAAGTATTATCTCAATTCTGACTCTGACGAGTGATTGACAGCTCCAGTTTTAAGGCAAAAAAATTTAAAGAAGTTTGGTACTTTGATCGTTGGGGGGCCACCTATATTTTTGATTTTCCAATTTTCTGTGGCGCTACTCGGGTTGGGAAGGGGGGCACCTTTTGTTTTCAAAACCGCTTTTTCTCGGGTAGCTCTATGCGTAGATTCCGAAAAACACAACGAGAGCTTGCGAAAATGAGTTTAAGTCCAGTTTTGCGGCACCAAAGTGTATATTTAACCTACTAATTACGTTACTGCTCAAATTGAAGCGAAATAAAAAAATTTTTTCAAGTTTCGACCATTTGGTCCACATGAGCCAAAATCTCAAAAAAATATGTTTTCAATTTGTTTTGCCTCTCTACCAGTCAATCTAAGTTAGAAAATCAATATTTAGTGGTTAAAAATGATTTTGGGTCTAGTTTTGACCTTGAGAAGTGCCCCAATAGTCGATAGTACACGAATTTAAGGTTGCATTTAAAGTTCAAGAAAAGTGTAGATTTCAACGTGTCGAAATGTCGGCTTTTCGATTTAAAAACCTATTCTAAAACTGTCAAATTCGTGCTCGGCGCTCTCGATTACCCCAAGAAAAGTGAAAAAATCAAAAATATAGGCGGCCCCGCAACCACCAAAACACCAGAAATTTCTCAAACCATTGTAAGCAGGGTTGTAAAAAGCCAGGCGCGATCCCGGCCTGATCCTAACGTGCTTTTGTTTTATTTCAGTCAAAATTAGATTTTCTATTGATAAGCATTCATAACCGTTTACTAGGGACTGTTCAAGAAAACCTATGATTTAATTTTCAAGAGTCTATTTAGGTTTAGGGCTCGACGTTGATTATAAGAAGCTAGGCCATAATATTAGGCTGGCTAAGAAGTGATGACGGATTTGCTTGCAGATGGTCTCAAACCTAACCAATCTTAACGCGTTTGGACTTATTCGTAAGCTGTATGCAATAGGAACACAGTTCCGAAAACCATTTTTTGATTCGTTTGGTTTTCAAATTTTTAAAAGCATTTAATTGAGCTCGGACAGATCGAAAAAAGTGTCAAAGTATTTGGCTTTGCGGCCCGACCTTGATTATAACAAGCTAGTCCATAATATTAGGCTGGCTAGCAAGTAATGACGGATTTGCTGGCAGATGGTCTCAAACTAAACCAAACTTAACGAGTTTGATCTTATTCGAAAATTGCATTTGATAGGAACACTGTAGCGAAAACCATTTTTTGATTCGTTCGGTTTTAAAATTTTGATAAGCATTTAAGTGAGCTCGGTCAAACCGAAAAAAGTGTCAAAATCCAATTTCGTCAATTTTTCGGTTAAAAATCTAGGCTAAAAATAGGTTTGTTCCCGCGGCACGATTTTCCCGAGTAGACACCCAAGCTTTGGATGCGTTTTTCTTGTGTGTTTTTGAATATGGACAAAAACTGAATACGGCATCGGATTCACCGTGTCCGCTTGGCGGTTGCATTTCAACGGCGTCAATATCTGCTAGAGCCATTTTGTGGCACCTTCTTTTTAGATCTTTTTGCTAAAAAAGTTGAAAAGTTGGTCACAGTTGCCAGTCGACTCCTCGACCCTCGGATCAACGAGTCGCCAAGCCCCGGATAAAATTTAATGATCCTGAAATGTGATTTTGACCCTTTTTTGGGTACCTAGCTGACTGAGTACCACTTAAAGGCTTATAAAAATTTGAAAACGGAACGCATCAACAAATGTTCTTCGCTACTGTGTTCCTCTTGAATACCGCTTTGAATAAGACCAACGATTGGTTAAGTTTGAGACCAGCTCCCAGCAAATCCACCATTACTTATTCGCCAGCCTAATAAATACTGGTCTGACCTGATTTCTTCTTTTGCATCAGGCTTTGATCTGTTCGGAAAGCCACCACGAAAGACAAATACCACATAGTTCGCAAATTCCAGCACAGAGTTGTCGTCTCCAAAGCCAACGAAAGCCGTTCTCATGTAGTAGTTGTCCTGTGACTGGGCCTCTGATTCCAGCCAAGCATTCAGATAGTCTGCCGGTAGAACAGCGACTTGCTTCCTGATTCTGAAAATTACAGAAAACATTGCAAGACAAAGTTTTATTCAGAAATCTTTCACGGCTCCTTTCTGTTATACATCCACAAAAATAACCCTTGATTTTCAATCAATGAGGAATCGATACCGTAGCAATTTGTTGCAACACCCATTCGTAGAATTGTGAATTGTTGCTAGACCTATAGAGAATGATTGTTAAAGAATTAAAGGAATAGCGCTTCACCAAAAACTCCAACAGGAAAATAGAAAGCTTTGACGAGAGAATCGAAATGATCTTGTGGTGCTGATCTTTTCGTACTCCATCCGATATCTATTTTGAAGTAATAAATTTTGAACATTGATCGTTCACTTACAGCTCCAACAATGTATGGACCAGTGGCATCACCGAGTATTGATGAAACAAGAGTTTTCCACATATTCCACGGAAAGAATGCTAGTTGTTGAAGTCGACCGCGGTTCTTTGATTCATCTCCAATTCTTTCGCACAATAATTGATCGAGGTCCACTCTTGAGTCCATCAATAATGGTAGGGCTGTGAGAGACGGGATTTTGGTGCTCTCCATCCATGAGGCAACACGCAGGTCGATCGCTGTCCAGCACGACGTTTTGTCACATCCGCATTGGAGATTCTGATTGAGCAATAGCTTCATAACGTGATGGTTGGCGTATGTGCGAGTAGTAAGCAAGATGCCGCGTTGTTGGAAGAACGAGATTGCATCAGCTTCCGTGGTCGGTAAACGAAACATGCTTCCATCGCGCCATTCACTTTCATGGAAGGATGCCAATTTGGCGGATGTATAACGGAAAGGAACCATTTTCGCGTTGATCGTGAGCTAAAACTTACATATTATCGGTGTTAACCAAAAGATTTTGGATTTCCGAAGCCATTCTCTGCATTTTCTCTTGTTGTTTATACTGGGTGCTGCCCCATGTCCAATCCTTTTGATCCTCTTTAACTCCGTGATGCTCGGCCATCCAATTTTGAATTTTTTCCTCTTCTTCGGACTTTTGGATCCAATTTGCCTAAAAGCTTCCTGTCCCTGCTCCCTCTCGTGGATTTACTAACAACTTTTTTTCGCAATACCTTTAACTATACGTAAAAACTCACCCGTGTGCCTGTGTAGCATCCAACATTGAGAACGACTTCACCTTTGTACACCCATTTACGCCGCGATCCACAAGTGATAGTTTTTGTGTCTGAGGGAAAATCCATCTTGTGGTTGATCTGAAAAACATTTTTGAGGATAAACTGAAAAAGAAACTCCCACTCGAACAAGCGCGAAATGGTCTGGATCAGCAATGCACGTGAACGTTCGATCGATCCAAAAATATTTACTGTAATTGAGTGATGAAGATAAAATGAGAAGGGTTGTCTCTAGCGACCAAAAAGCCTTGAGCCAGGGGCCGGAACATAGCTGCGGGCAAGCCTTGATCGAGTCCGAGCTCATCAAGCTTTTCACCGGGCCGAGCCCGGGAAAGCTTTCGCGAAACACGCTTACTTAGACGTCTCATCGCTCGTAAAGTTTCTCCAGTTGCCACCAGCCGAATGAATGTGAATGTTTTCACTCCGGTTCTTGCACTCTTCCATCCATTCTAAAAAACAGCCAATAGACGAGTTGGGTAACAAAAAAAGAACAAAGTAATCGATCGAAACAAACGGGCCTTCATTTGCTGTCACCATTTTTGCCAGTGAAGCCACAAACAAAAAAACGAATTCTTTCTTCATTTACAGCCAACTGAAAAGTAAATTTGATGAAATCAAGATTGTAAAAAGATATAGTTTAGTAAAAAACGAGAAGTTGTTCAAATAATCATCAAAAAATTTATGGGGAAAATAAAGTTTGAAAGTTGAAAGTTGAAATTTGGAATCTAAAGGTCTATGTGGTGTCTGGAAAATGATTCAATTCTAAAAGAATTTTTTTAATGGAAGACCACATTTTTTCTTTTTCCCATTTAATAAATCGCTCCAAAGAAGTTAATGGAAGAAAGAGAAGACAAATTTCAGCGCTTTTACGATCAACTGCAGTACTAGTGAAGTAGCTGAGTAGCCATATTTTTGTTGTTATAATGAATACTTTATTTAGAAATAAAGTGCCGAAATGAAGATTTACAATAACTCATGAAAAATGGAAGATGCCACTATGGAATCAGAAGCCCTCCATTTGTCTCAATGTTTAGTAAAGATTACGATGATGAACAGGAAATAAGGTAAGTTTTTAATTACCGTATTCTCTCTAATAGTAGTGCACCCCGGCGAGCCGAGTTGGTGACGATTTTACGGCTTTCAAAGTTTTCGCAGAAGCTCAACACTCAAATCCCCCAAAAGATCGATAGGTTCTGATAAGCGGTTCTCGAGATTTCGAGGAATTTAGGCGACGCTTTGGGTGCACTACTATTAGAGAAAGAAAATACGGTATTTACACAATAGTTTTCAAACTATTTTGCTTAGTGATGAAAACTTAAATTGGTCCGGAAATGGCGTGATCAACCGGAATTATCGTCCGAGAATTTTGTTCGTTTTGTTTATTGTTTATTCTGAAATTGTAAAAAGAGAAAGTTTAGTATTGGAATCTTTTTTTTCTGAGAGCTTCATTCGCAAGTGCTTGTGTTTACTGAGCTGTTGCTTTTAATAGGTTAGGACACACTGGGGTGCCTACTTTGGCAATGAATAGCAGATGTCAAGCAGATTTAGCCAAATTATCCTCAGGAACATTAAGGAACCGGTTCTCTTCAGTGGTTTTTAAAGATCTAGGATTAAAAATTAGCAAAAATGTAAGAACGATGAATCTTAAAATAAACCTTTTTAAACTAAGGTGCTAGACTAGTTTTATACTCCAACTACTTACTATAGTACTCCAACTCCAACTTAATCCAACTTACTTGAACTATTGAAATAAATAGGCATGAAGTCAAAAGAAGAAGCACAAAGATTTTCATTGCTTGTTTTGTGATTTTGCTGGTTATTTGAAGACATTTTTAAGTCTTAAAGGAATCTAAATGGAATCAATGAAATCTAATCGAGAAAACTATTTTAAAGATGTGAATGTAATCAAATATTTTTCAATTTTAAAATCTCAGCTAAATAAAAAGTCATTTTAAAATTTAGGGACTTTGTTTGAAGGCCGCATTTCTTTTTTTCTCTTTTCTTGGGTTACTTGGAATCTTTTTCATGTATTCCTTTATTCAAACGATATGAAGCCGTTAAATGCACAACACAAACATCTCCACATCCAGCTGCACATGGCCGACTCCATGTCTTCACCTCAGTAATCACCCAGTCACCAAATGCTCCATAGAGATAAGTACACGTTTGGTGATTTGCTCCTTTTCGAAAAACAGTCACAATGTCGATACGTCCTGCCCAGTTGTAACCATAAGTCGATGCACGCTCTGCTAGCGATTGGATCTCGCCATTGGAAAGGGTCTGTAAACAGTAAGAAGCTAAAGATGGCTTCTGGAAATGGACGCGCCTGGACCCACTCATTGAAAATCGGCTGAATTTCAAACTCGGGGTTCTGCCGTTTCAATGTGTATAGCATTCAATGTGTATTTTCAGAAATGCGAGCTTGTCCTCATCGAGAATCGAGATCGCTATGCTTTTGAAAGTCGCAGAGTCGAAGGCGGCCATCTCGCGAAAGCAATCGACTACGATGCATACAGGGTGGCCGACCACATTTGACGCAAGGTTTTTGACTTGTAGATGATGCCAAATTTATCAAAACCTATTGAACTCATAACCAAAAGTGTAGAAAATTTTCTGTAGTTTCTAAAATTTAGAATTATTTTACAAGAGATCTCCTAGTTTTTGAGTTATGCCCTTTTGCGTATCCATCCAAAAAACGCCTCTGCGCCGAAAGTGATATTGAGGTTCACACGAGATTTGGATTATTTTGAACTCACAGAGAAACCATTTGATGCTAATTTATCGATTTGATAATAGCTATTTAAATGTTGATTAGCTGCTGTCAGCCTGGGCGTGTAAAGATGCCAACAATGTTTTTGTTTATACAAATGTTCTACAAAGACAAGCTATTTAATTATTGATTAGAAATGAGAACAGTTTAGATTTTCAATGGCATCGTATTTTCAAGCTGATCTTTTGCAAGCTAATCTTTTGATGGCTTCTTGCAGACGAAGCGTGCTCTCGGTGCCCCAGGAGTCCAGCCCCATCCTCGGAGACCGCACGAGCCATGGTTTGCAATCTGGGGAACTTCAGAAACAGTTAGAAGGCTACAACTCACTTGTCCATTATAAAAGTCACCCAACATCCCATTCTGAACATAATCAGCAGGCGATCCATCAGTCCACATTCCAGCTCCAATTGTCGCATTCCCATAGTAGCCAATGTAGGCATAGGAATAGCCACATGTATAATTTCCAGGAGCCACATTGAAAAGCCCATGAACTTGTGATTTGACTAGCTCTGAAGAAAAAATTTTTGAGAAGAAAATGAGTTTAAATTTGACGATAATTTGACGACATTTATGATTTCGGGCTTTTAAAAACAAGTGATTCACAGCTACACTTACCCATCACAAGGTCATTTTCCGAATCCGAATGAATTGACACCAAATGAGCATCCATTTTTTGACACATCGACTCAGCCATTGTCACGTTGTACAATTCCCAATGAACACCGTCTGGATAGGTGAAATTCTAAAAAGAGATCCTAAAAAGAAATCCTAATGTAATGAAAATCCTTTCACTTACGTGTAAATAATAGCAGTAGTCAGTCTGATTGTTGTAGACCCAACCATAGGGACATTTCAGCTCTGAAATTCATCTTGTAACATTTAGATTGGGATACAGTGGATTGGGTTGGCCACTAAGGAATGAGTCACGTCAAAGAAAAGAAATTTTGTCAACGAGGATCCATCAGAATAGGTCCAAATTTGATTTGAGTTCCGCTCAACGCCAAGTCGCTGAAATAGTATTCTCTTAGTTGAAATTATTTCACTAATTTGAATTGAAAAATTTGTGGATTCACATATGTTCGTGATTTTGATTGGATCACCGCGCATCGAATGGCATTTTGTGAGAACATCGGTATAGGGACGAGCTGAAAATGAGATAATTTGACTTTTAACGTAGATAGTGTCAGCTTCTAGAAGTTCTAAGCTTCAAATAGCAATGTAAAGAGCCCAATTGGACAGCAGAATCGGAGCTCAGTGAATGAGTGACTTGGCTTATGTGTAGATTCTCATATTTTCTCATGGCCATTTGAAGTCAAATGATTAGGAGGGTGTGCCAGCCAGGGCTGTGAATTTTGAAAGCTCCTAGTAAACATGTCAGATCGGATCGGATCAGGTCCGATCCAAAGGTCATTGATCCAAACATTGATCAAAGCCTTAATAAACTCGGACTGGAAAGGAGAAACCAAAGGAAACGGCTGATCGATCGTTTAATGTTACCCTGAAGCTGGTTCAATATTGGCCAAAATCAAGGTTTAATTGATTCGTAAATGTTATTTTTTTCCTCAGTTTTCACATTTTTAAGTTTTCAAGTAAGCTGAATCAAATTGAGAAAACTCAAATCAAATCAAATCAAATCAAATTGAGAAAACTACTTTAAAGGTGTGAATGTAATCAACCATTGTTCAATTTTAAAATGTCCACTACATGAAAAGTCATTTTAAAATTTAGGGACTTTGTTTTAAGGCCGCATTTCTTTCTTTCTGCTTTCTTGCGTCACTTGGAATCTTTTTCATGAATGCCTCTATTCAAACGACATCAAGCAGTTAAATGCACAACACAAACATCTCCACATCCTAGTGCACATGGCCGACTCCACGTCTTCACCTCAGAAATCATCCAATCACCAGATGCTCCATAGAGATGAGTACACGTTTTGTGATTTGTTCCTTTTCGAAAAACAGTCACAATGTCGACACGTCCTTCCCATTTATCACCATAATTCGCTGCACGCTTTGCTAGCGATTGGATCCCGTCGTGAAGTTGTGTCGATTTCAAAATGTCTTGAAAGTAACGACTAAAATAAAGTATTATCTCAATTTTTTCCAAATTTCGACCATTTGGTCCCCCACATGGGTCAAAATCTCAAAAAATATGTTTTCAATTTGTTTTGCCTCTCTACCAGTCAATTTAAGTTAAAAAATTAATATTTAGTGGTTAAAAGTGGTTTTGGTTTTAGGACTAGTTTTGACCTTGAGAAGTGCCCCAATAGTCGATAGCTTGCGTACACAAATTTAAAGTTGCATTTAAAGTGCAAAAAAGTGTAGTTTTCAACGCGTCGAAATTTCGGCTTTTCGATTGAGAACTTATTCTAAAACTGTCAAATTCGTGCTCAGCCCAAGAAAAATGGAAAAATCACAAATATAGTGCGTTTCAAATTCTTAAACGCACCCTCTAAAATGATGAATTTTGCATTTTGAACACCGCTGCAACTATTAATCTTTTTCTGTTAGAAAGGGCATGTCTTAAAACCTATAAACACGAAAAATAAGCATACTGTAAAAAGCAAAAATTTTCAAAATAGAAACTTTTTGCTAAATCAACCGTTTCAAATTCTTAAACGCACCCGCCTTTGCTGTTGTTTTTTTGAAATTCTTCGTTTTGTTGTGCATATTTTTTTATTAAATTTATAATTTTTGTTAATTTCCAGGTAAATGGCATACGGAAAGCTGCTCACGGACTATGGGAAAGGCCAGATTGATGCCCGTTT